CCTTTAAAAAAAAAAAAAAAAAAAAAGAATGAATTTGCATAAAATTATATAGTTGTTAGAAAATGTAAAATTTACAAAATTTTAGGCCCATTTAAACATTTTTCTCCCCCGTAATCCCTGTGCTTTTCTTTTCTTTTTTTATTTCAAGGTGGATCTAACTTTATGTGAGGTTTGGAAGCTTGGTAATTTTCTCATTAACCCATTCAATAATTTAAATATATATAAATTTTTAATGGATTTTCTGCCGAACTTAAATCAAATAAATTCGGATTAGATTAAGTCAAAACTATTATTATTAATAAAAATAGAAAAGTTTAAGAATCAAACTCTAATTTTATCATTTTTATTTCAAAATCAAATTTAGTTCTAAATTCTTATCCCCATAGGTGATGGCATTGTGGTAAATAATGTAGAGAATGGGGTCAAATCCGAAAAAATAAAATCAATTTATAATTAAGGAGATGAAGGGAGAGGAAGTGGCCACGTCGTCGGATGCAGGAGTGTTGATAACCGTACCCTTTTCGCCACAAAAAAAATATATATATATATTCATTTTTATTTTCGGGAAAAAAAATATATCTTAATTAATTTGTCTTTTTTTTGTTTCGTCCAATTATTAATAACTATCCACGTGGCCCATCTGCCTCTTTAATTTTTAAAATTTCTCCACATTTATTGATTTTATTGCCATATTTTAATTTTTAAAAAATAAAATAAATTTTTGACACTCCAACTTATAAAATTAACCCATTTTTTAATCTTAGGATTTTGTAATTTCAGATTATACACAAAATAATTAAATAACTGTAATATTATTGCTCTAAATGTTGTTAAAGTGAAAAAAAAAATACACAATTTTTAACAAAATTAATAAAGTAAGAAGTGTAATTTAAAGTTTTAAAATTATAGAAACTCAATTTATAATTTAATATTATTCTAAATAATCATTTCCAACCAAAAAAGTCAAAATGTTTAGAAGATAAAGTACGGTACTTAATTTCCTAGTTGCCGTACCTTAAAAATATTAACGGCATCATTGACTTCAAATAAAATTTTATGTCAATTTATAATATAAATTATTTTTATTTTAAAGTTTTGTTTATAAAAATAAAAATAAAGCCACTATTTCTTACTTAATAATAATAATAATAATTAATTAGAAATCGACGTGATCGTGGACTTTTAAATAAAATATGCTTAAGTTTATTTTAAGTCCAATAAGTTAGGTTGGGAATAAATAATTAAAATTATGGGTAATATGAATAAAACGAGACCATACCTGAATTAGAGCGTTCATGAGAATAGAATGATTAAGAAAGACACAAAAGAAATGAAACTAACAAAATGTACCTTCAATCATATGAACTTCATAATTAAACGTGCTTTACTGTGAGTAATTCTATGTGTGGGTGACATCCCAGTAGTTTTTGTGTGATGCATGTGAATAGTAACAAATTATACTGGAAATGACGTGTGATCACCAGTAAAGATAGTCTTTCACTCTTCAAAAGTGAATGAGTAACGTGACCATTTTACAGAGGATGCAGGATAATGCATGGCCTATCAGGCGTTGAATTTGATTATGAATCTTAAACTAGGGTCGTTACAATTAATTAAATTCTTATTATAATTTTGAGAAATCCGCTACGATGGAATGATAAAAAAGGTGTTAGAACACGCTCAACCGACACAAAATACATGATATCGACTAAAAAGTCAAAAGATTCGAAACCTCGAATTTATTAAAAATAAATTGGGATTTGAATAACCGGTTATTATTTAATTGTTTGTTATATATAAATAATAAATGTAAGTAATTAAATAATAAAGTCTAAGACTTAAATATTATTAATAAAATCCCTGTGATTTAAGCAGTGACGTTAATTGCCAATAAATGACGCGCGTATGAATCACGCTAAGAGTATCGGTTCCAAATTCAAATTTGGTATTAACTGGAAATTGTCCACGTGGTGATCTGCGATTGGTTATTTGTAGCTGGACAGTGATTTTCGACCAGCTTCTTTTAATATTTATTTCATTAATTGGTCTTGATTTATTTTTCCTTAAATAATGGATAAGGTTTCTTTGAGACACTATTCTTTGGATGTTTTCATCAATCACAACCCATTTTTTAATCTCTAAAATAGTTATTATTATAATATCATAAATTCATTTTTTTTCTTTTTATTTTTTCATGAAATTAATTATCAAAATGAAAATGTTACTATCAGAGATTTTCTATTTTACGATTTTAACGATGATACCATTAAAATATAAAATAATTATATCAATTTTAAATATAGTTATAAATTTGTCGAAAAATCATAAATATTGTTGTGAGATATTGAATTGAGCTTTTTAATAACTAATATGTTTTTTTTATTTGCAACTTATGACGGGAAGTTTAAATTTTGTTAATTTTAATAGCATTTATCAATACTTTTCACCACCTTAATTAGGATAATTCTAAGAACGTTAGCTAATAAATTAAGGACCTTTAATTAAATCGATAGTCTCCCTATACTAAAAATTAAAATGTTGATATAAAATAGAAAATAAGAGTGAATAAAAGCATTTTTTAATATTTTTGTATAATTTAAAAAAGAAGTGGATTAGCTTTATGATAGGGAATGTTATTAGGTCGCCCTTATTATATGTTTTTTCTTTACGAGAAAGAATTAAATAAAACGAACCTATTTTTTAACTATTTTATCAGTTTTAAATGTTTGTTTTCAAACGTGATGAACGAATGGCTTAACAAAGAAAGAAACAAAGAGTTACGATCACATAAATAAAACTATCGTGATTTATGGCCACGTGCTCCCATCTCTGAAATATAGACCCCACCCTGTCTCCATCTTGCCGTGATCCATAGCTACGAGTTTCAATTAACCAATGAGCTAAGATAAATTGAGAGGACTTGGGTGGCCATATCTTTGTTGCTCCCATTTGTTGGCAAACCAGACAGACAAAAGAATCGACAAACGTCAAAATAATGTCCTTCAAAACAGAGCAATATAATTGAGCACATTTATTTTACATCACATCTGCCACCAAAAAAAAAAAAACAACATTTTTTCTTTCCTTTTTCGACCATTTTTGTTCCAAAGTTTTTTACTAAAAAAAACAGGACTCGTCCATTTGAAATCTTAAAATCGAGCTGTTGGGAAAAATCTTCCTCTTATTTTTTGTAGGGACGGATCGTTGGAGTAGTTTCCAGACTCACACGAAAAAGGAGTAAGCATTAATTAACAACTTTTAGAACGATGTACACGTCAATCACATATATATAATTATTAGGATTCATATTCTCATGAACTAAGAATGTCAAACTTCATTAACCCGACTAACCCAACTAAGTCTCTCGAAGAAAGAAACAAGTCTTTATTTTTTAGGTTTAAATTTCAATTTTATTTGTTCTATTTTTGTCCAAATATCTATCTATATGTATTTATTTTATTTTTAAAAAAAATAGTTTTTGAGTATGACTTCGGATTGAACAAAAAAAAAAGAAAAAAGACACGTGTGCGGTTGAGATTGAAAGATTTTAATAAATAGAAAAAATATAGTGCTAAAATTACAGATGGAGGGATGGAATAAGTATGTCTGTACGCTATATGAGAGGAGATAAAGAGGCCACGTCATAAGCTGGGGGCACAGAAACCTCGTACCCTCCGCCTAAATTATTATTATTTTTATTGAGGTTTATATTTTAAATTTTGTATCAAATGAATATTTGAGCTTAATACTTTGTTTATATTTAATACATTATTTAAAACATTTTAAATTGTCCAATATCTACTAGATTTTTTCAAAATACTGATTTATTTCTTTTAAAATTCATAATAAAAGCCGAGTGATTTATTTCTTTTAAAATTCATAATTTGTCTAAATATTTATAATTTATGGATGGTATATTGGTGATTAATTAAATAATACATTTGTTCAACGAACTTAGACATTAGGATCATCCACAAACTTCCTTATCCATTTAAGGTAATAATCTTTCATTTTATTTTTTCCATTGCTTTTTCTAAAATTAACATTTTTATATTCTATCTTTTAATCCTTTTTTATAAAGAATCTAGCTTTTAATTTTCTTCACGATGCCTAGTGATACGTGGTATTAATTTCTTTAAAATAAAGATAATATATAATAAATAAATAATTTTCAACTCGAGTAATTTAAACAATTAAGTTGGATTAATTGTATATT